CATAAACATGGTAGAGCTTTGGAAATAAGATAATTATTTGCTAAAAAACATTTTTAGATAAAATAAATTAAAGGATTTGAGAAAACAAAGTTTGTTGTTGTTGTTGTTGTTGTTTGGGAAACGCTCTAAGGAAGCTGAAAACGCCTTAAATAACGCTTTAAAGGTTGAAAATAAATTTTCGTTTTCACGCGGTTTTATTTGCGTAACGTTACGTTACGACACCCTGGGCGCACAGATGCACAGAGTAGGCAACCCTGAAACCTGCGACATTGTGAAATCCACAATGCTACACCCGGTACTGCTCAACAACCTATAATCAACTTTCGACGTATAAAGACAACTTTATTTCTCTTACCATGGGTTTGTCGAGGTTCGATTCACAGTGGATGAGAATTAGCGTTTCTTGCTCACGCTTTGTCGCTTGCCAGCCCGTCGATGCCTTTGACCTTCGGTCGGTTCCGCACCCGAAAGAACTCGCCGGCGCTGTCCAAGCAGATGTGCGGGTCCCCCCGCGAGTCCACAGCCTGGGAGAGCGCTCGCCACACGAAGCCCTCCAGGCGGAGCGGGCCGCTCACCGCATTGAGCAGGTCCATGGCCAGCGAGCCGTTGGACAGTGTGTACTTGCCCTACACAAAAATGTTTTTAAAAACTCCTTGAAAAGTAGACTTTTGCCGCGTTGACTTACCTTAGTGACGGGGCAGCTCATCTTTGGCCGTATGCTGGCGAGCACCCGGGCCCACGGCATGGCAGCGCTCATCATCACGGCGCAGATGTCGTGGAACTCGAACGTCCGGAAGGTCGAGCAGGTGGCCGCGGACACGGTCTGGTCGCACTGCTCAATAACCGCGGTGCTCTTGGACCACCTGGCCACGGACCGGCTGACGGTCACGTTCAGGTGGAAGACGACGGTGGTGCGGCCGCGCATGGCGAAGACCGCGTCGGCTGCCTTGACGGCGTTGTTGTTGATCTTGCACGGCCGGATGAAGGTCGGCCGCACCTCGAGGTGCGTCTTGTCATGGCTTCTCCTGGCCGAGCTGAGGACCAGAACAGCCAGCAGTGGTGCCACTAGGCGGGGACCCTCACCATGCTGCATGGTGCAGGGGCCCAGCGACTCTGTCCGCTGGCCGCCGGGCTTGGCGGACGTGGTTCACAAATGTAGCGATATCCGGCAGCGCTTAGCGTGCGCGTGCCCCCTCTCCCTCCAGGCGTCAGCCCGCCCACACCTTTCTCACGGCTGCAGCATTTTTTTTTATTTTGGTGCCGATGAAACATTATCCAGGCGGTTTTTACTCAGAATTTTTCTGTACAGTGTATTACATATTACGTGTATTACGCGATATTCCGCCGGTATTACACAAGGTTTGCAAACCTAAATTCTTCTCTTTTTGGGTTCATTTTCATATTTTTCGGTATTATTGTTGTAATTGCTGTAAAATATGTATAAAATCACAAACAAAATCATTTGTTTTCATTGGCACGTGGCAAAATTCCTTCTATTTTGCCTTGCCCGGTAGTGGTCCATAACAATGATTCCTACTTTTCACCATGTTGTAACACTACAACAAGACAGTTGTAAATTTTAATAGCAAGATGTATCGTTACAGAACGAACAAGTTTGTGTTATTACAATTTTTTGGTGCAGGCGGAAGTAAATAACCACTGTTTTGAAATGGAAATTTGCTTAAAAACATGTGTTGTTTTTTTAACAACACTTGTTGCTATCAAACTTTACATCAAATGTGTGTAAATTTACAACAATTTTTTTTAACAGAGCGGCCGACTCTCGCCAGGCGCCACACGATCGGCAGCCTCAACCATGGAGTGCGACATCTGCACCGAGCACTTCGACGGCGCCGAGCGGCTGCCCAAGGTCCTGCCGTGCGGCCACACGGCCTGCCTGCAGTGCATGCGGCGGCTGCCCGGCAGCAAGTGCCCGACGTGCCGGCGGGTGAGTATAGCCTACGGCTCGTGCCCTAGCCACCTCCAATCCAATCCCCCCCCCCCCCATTTGTGCTGACCTGGTCTCCCCACAGGACGTCAACGGACCGCCGGAGGAACTCCCCACTAACTTCGCAGTGCTGCAGTTTCTGGAAAGAGTCAGGCAGAGCAGGTGAGCTCGGAGCTCCGCCGCGCGCAGACCCTTGCGGGCGAGGGGTCCCCCACTCGTCAACTCGTTGTACACTTAGCCGCGCCCAACTCGCGTCTAACTCGCGTTCAACTCGCGACAACTCGCGTTCAACTCGCGACAACTCGCGAAAACTCACGATAACTCGCGAAAACTCGCGTGAAAATCGCGAAAACTCGAGCCAAAATCGCGCAAAACTCTCTAAAAATTGATCCCAACTCGCGCCCTACTCGCGGCAACTCGTCAACTCGGCAACTCGTTGTACACCTATTTTGGAAGTGGGGGACCCCTCGCTTGCGGGAGAGGCATGTACGAGAGACTGACAACTTGACTTGGGCCCCACAGCACTCCCCGCGGCTGGTGCTCGGACTGCCTCGCCGCCGCCTTGCCGCGCTGCTGGGAGGACCACGACGTGCTGTCCATCAGGAGTGCCCTGAGGCACCAGCTGCAGGGCGCGCTGCCACAGGCCGCCGAACTGCTCCAGGGCCTCCCGGACCAGTGCCGGGACGAGCAGGCTCTGCTCGCCCTCACCCTGCTGACCAGCGAGGCCTGGGGCGTGACGCTGCGGGGTGGAGGCCGCGAGCTGACGGGGACCCTGCCGAACACCGAAGAGCCGCTCACGAAGGCCCTGTGGCTTCTGCTTGCGACAATGGCTGCACTTAGCGAGGTAGGTGATGCGGGGTTCTGGAGTGTTTGAGAACTCCCTCACGCCAAATTTACTTCACTTTCGTTTGCCTATCGATTACACCTCGGAGCCATTCAAAAGTTCATTAAAAGAAAAGGGATTTGAAACTCAACGTATTTCGACATAATTTGAAAAAAAAAAAACCTAAGCTTGCGCTAACGTGGGAGCAGATGATATAGCTTTAATTTTCAGTTAGTTTGCTTTAAAGTAGGTTATAATGCGATACGTAGGTCTTGCCCAGAGTGGCAGAGCTTAGCAAAACATAGTGGTCAGGGGGACCATAACAAAGCAAAAAGCGGTTCGCTAAAATGGGACAAAACTAGATTCAATACACGAAAAAAAA